TCTGACGCGTCGAAAACCTGCCCGCTACCGTTGCGTTGAAAGTTAAGCCCTCCAATCAGGTGTATTGCGAACTGCTCACTGCAACTGGACGCAGAGGGCTGCCTGCTGCAGAAGTTAACGGTTTAAACTATCCCCGAAGAACCTGTTTTTATTGTGCGCCAAAGCTCGGATCCGACACTTGGGAAGACGGCTGCTACACAACTGCCCGACCGAAGCCACGCCACTGTTCAGAACGACCACAACGTCTCGGTAATCTCTCAGATCACTTCAGTGTCCCTTTCCTGCTTGTAAAATCGTTCCTGATAAGACATCCAGATCTTTTTCAGTAGAAAAATAAAATGACTCGATTCTACGGCCAAGTTTGCAAATGGCTAATTGAGAAAAATAGTCCAATGGTGCAGACATCAAGTACGTTCAGGAAAATCCTCCTCAATCACAAATCAATACATAGTGTGTTCTTCCAACCTCCTCACCCTTACAGGTTTTTATTGAGCTATTAGTATACAATCATTTATAACATTAAGGAAACGACTTTATTGTGAATGCAATATTTCATTCTTCAACAGTGGCCAACGAACTATCGTCCATACTTATTCTGGACCTCCACGCTGTAAAAGAAAAGCGGACAGTTAATACAGTCCACTAGAAGAATGGACAATGGAGATCAAATCTTTTGCACCATTACAAAAGAACAGAGTTCTAGTTTTAACTTCAGATTTATACATTGATTTTTAAACTATGTAAGAACATGCACAGAGTGTCAAATATCAGCATCTATCAGCAACAGCTCTGCTTTTTTCAGGGGAGAATACCACAATATCAACACTGAGAACTGTACAGAACAAGAGTAGGTTTTTCTTGCCTTCCATGTACAATGCTTATTTGCAAATATGCAGAAAATATTTATATCAAGTTGAACAAAATGTTTCCACTGCTAGAAATACAAGAGTTAACTTACTAATAAATAACTTACAAAAAATTATTTTGGACTTTGATCACCAGGTGATCAAAGTCCAAATCGCCTTTGCTGGTCTAAGAGCAGACTCCTGTGCTCCCGTCCAGTACATTCAAATTGCACATAAAACAGTTGTTACAACACAGGTAGTGACAGTGATTAATGTAGGCTACAACTATGGCTAGCTATCTGCATGTTTGTTTTAAGTCCGTTTCTCTCCACTCAGCAACACCACAAGCTACTGATTAGTGAGAGTTGGGTACCTTGTGTATTAAGAATTTGTAGTTTGGGTATTATGCATCAAAGCCATGAACGCTAGGAGTGCACCCTTACCAAGAATTACAATGCAATACCATATCTGAAACTCTGAAGAAGGTGTAGAAATCAGCTAAATGCTAGGTAGATACAGACAATACACACCAATAAATGAAACTTACTTGAATAAATTCAATCTCTTCATCTGACATAAGTTTCCTTCTGTATTTCTGAGGTAAGGTTCTTGCTAATTCAGAAGTGTCGGGTGTACCTTGTACTCTACTAACAGATGAGATATTTTGAAATGCCAGTGATCTGCCTCCTACAGACTCCTGTGCTTTTGAAGCATGGAGAGATGGCACACTTGCTTGTAGAGATTCCTGTACTGAAACCCAGATTGCAGAACCATTTACAGAGATATAACAAGACTGTAAAATCAATGAGCAGCCAATAAAGTAACCAGTTACTGACAATTTTCTTCATTAAAACAAACACTTAAAAGAATTAAGACACTCTACTTCTCACAACCTGCATTCTTGTTAAATGTATCAAGAGCACAGCGAAAAAATTCTGACAGTAAAAGAAAGCGTCTAGAAATAGAATTGTAAATCAGCATATATCTTAACAAAGGCTTTTTCACTGGGAAGCTGTACTTAAGGAAAAAGCATAAAGTACCATAAATATGTGTGTGGAGGCAGTTATGTAGAAAGGTAACTAAGACAAATAACTAAGATCCACTGAGATGATGCTTTTTGTTTACTGCGACTGTAAAGCCAGACAAGTGGAAAAAAGGTGGAGGCTTATACAAAGATAAAGCTCACAGCTATGACATACCACGACATGCAATGCAGTGTTCTACCCACTTTTTATATTACAAAATGGCATACCAAATTTTATTAATGATGTGCAGAATGACCACCAAGCATTGGGCATCAGCAATCAATGTTAATGAAATGCAGAGACCAAGGAGCACATGAACTACTTTACAGGCGAGGGCCAGGAGCTAGGCTCAAGGAATTCACATTAGAGAAGCTGCCTTGAGTTTGAGGATAGGAGAAGAGATGACAAAAGGGCAGGGCTGTCAAAGTCAGCATTCTGAACCTTACGTCTGTCCCACCATGGCTGATTTTACAATGGAAGTACACAATTACCCCACCAGGCAGGATGGAGTCTCACAGCAATATGCTTACTTCATAAGCACTCAGACCTTTATATATAAGGTTCAAACACCTGATAAAAGCCGAATGCTTCCACAGGAAGTCCTTCTCAGTGCTCCTGAAAAATGAGGAAGACAAATGCAACACCCAAACAGCTGTGACAGAGGGACTATATAATTGTAAAATAAGCAGCATCAAGACTGGATAAGTCAAAGAATGTGAGGAGTTAAAATACCACAGCACCACCTGCCTCTCTCCCTCCTGCCTCCAACAAGATCAGTGAGGACAAAAGGAGAGGAGCCAGTTTTAGCCATAGTGAGTCTGAGTCAATGGCAGGATTGGGACATCAAACATCTGCTGCAGTGTGATCAACCCATCATCGGTAAGAAAAAAAAGCACCACTGAGCAGCATATTCAGAAGTTCTCAGGCAGAAGACTGTATACAAAAGTCCCAAGTTGATCAGGCGGTACAGGAACAACAGAAGGTCCCGAACAGAGGAAGAAGGAAGAGAGCCTATCAGAAGGAGCAGATTCTGAACAGGGAGCAAAGTATTTTTGTTTCAAGAAATAACATACCTTATAAATGAAAAAACAAGAAACAGTTTCTCCTAGTTTGTTTCATACACCACAGAAATGTCTAGGAGATTTACCAAAGATTCTCCTCTGTTCTACGTTTCAGTGTGAAGTGCAGTTGGAGTAGATGCATTAGCCAATTAAAAACATCAGCAGTCAAAACCCAGAATCAGATTTAATACTGCTGTGGCTTTAGCTCAGTTATAGTCTCTACTGTATTTTTCCCTCCCCTGTTTGAGACCATCACGTTGCAGTAGCAATACTGTAAAAGAATATGGCTGGCCCTACAAGCTTAGTCTTGATCTGCAGGGCTCTGGTTATGTAGAACCAACAGTCTGGTACAGTGAAACTCAGCTATTGCTACAGCATTCATGCAAGATGAAGTAGATTGCAATTTACTAATGAGATGACAGAACCTGGTTAAGGTAGAAAAGTCTAACATACTTAAAAGATATAGTCACAAAAATCTTCTGATGCAGAGAAGACAAGAGGTAAGTAATATTTTCAAGCCTTTGCGAAAGCTATTCACAGGCATGAGAAGTGGTGCATTTATCTGAACATACAAAATTTTGACAGGAAGTTATTACAGAACATAGATCCTAAAGAGTTCACAGGTTAAGTCAGAAGTGGCACTGATACGTACTGTAGATACTTCGTAATGTTAACAGATAAACTAAACAAAAGCTAAATCACAAATGTGATAATGCTGTGGCAAATAATGTGGTATGGTTATAATTTCTAAAGTAGTGAGAATAACATAACAGACCGTCTTAAGATACCACCTATTTTAGTATTTTCTTTATAGTAGCTAGTATGGTGCTATGTTCTGGATTTGTGCTGAAAAGTGTTGATAATACAATAATGTTTTTGTCATTGTTGAGCAGCGCTTATACAGAGTCAAGGCCTTTTCTGCTTCTCACCCCACCAGTGAGTAGGCTCTGAGAGCACAAGAAGTTGTGAGGGGATGCAGCTGGGACAGTTGAGACTGTCCTATCTCAACCCACAAGTTTTCTCACTTCTATTCTTCTGATTCTCTCTCCCATCCCATCGGTGGGGAGTGAGCAAGTGCCCGTGTGGTGCTTAGTTGCTGGCTGGGGTTAAACCGCAACAGTCCTTTTTGGCACCCAACATGGGGCTCAAAGGGTTTGAGATAACGACAGATTTGACTGGAATGTGCTGGATCGAATTTATAGCTGTTATTGCTGTTTACAGGCTCCTGGGCTTGCCAGGGGGCTTGCTTACCTTTATATTAGACTGTAGTGCTCATCAGTGGTTGCTTTTTCTTCTGCTGTTTGCCCAACTGCCTACATCTTACTGTGCTGTGCCTGGGAACACTCTGATAAACAGCAATGGCCAAGCAGCTGGCCAGGACATCACTGTGGTTTGCACTACTATGGTGGACAGGCAGGAACTCCAGCGTGAACTCAAGCTGAAGGGCCTGAGACCTGTGGGTGAGTTCACACAGGAACAGGACACCCCAAAGCATCTGTGGCCATGCATCAGTCCACAGCAGAACAGATACATCTTGAAGCAACTGTGGCCATGGTTATGTCTGTGCTACAGCAGGTATACCTCTGAAGCGGTTGTGGCCCAAGGATAAATCCATGCCATAACAGGCACGCCTCAAAGCAACTGTGATTGTGGGTAAGTCCACGCCACTGGAGAGACTGAGGCTGACAGGTAAGGCTCCACTTACACCCCTATGGGACTGCAGTCTGTGGATAAGCCCAAGCCAGAGCAGGGGCAAGAGGAGTTTGTTGCAATGTTAAACCCAATGGTCCAATCCAAAGGGGCCAGGGGTAGAGATGGTAATGCAAATACCTTTAAATTGCTGTAACCCAGCATGTGAGTTGCTTGTTATGGGAATTACTATAGCAGGAACCCCTTGTTGCTACCCAGGCTAGGAGGAAGGGGAGGAGTTCATTGAAATGTTAAACCCTATAACGTGGCCCAAAGGGGACCAGAGGTGGAGACTGTAATGGAAATACCTTTAAATTGTTGTAACCCATGGTTTGAGTTGCATGTTATAGGAATTACTATAGCAGGAACCACACAAACCAGTAGAGGATAAGCCTTACAAGAGCAGTGCAAGTGCAGCACTGACCTGACCTACCTTTGGTGCCTAGAAACATCATGCAACATATCACCTCTCCTGTTCCGAGTGACCACCATAACAGATGGAGCCCAAAGTCATGGATTAAATTAACTCAGTGGACATCGGTGGGCATTTTATAGACATTTTACAGGCATGGTCCATAGACTAAGGGAATGATAGCTATGTATTGTATGAAAGTATGGCAAGGGGGGTGGCGATTAATGAGGTTGTATTGGATAGTATGGTACCTGTGCATGACACAAGTGGGATGGAATAAGGGGTGGAAAATTTACTGGTTTTGCTGGGATAGAGTTATTTTCTTCGTAGCAGCTAGTATGGGGCTACGTTTTGGATTCATGCTGGAAACAGTGTTAATGGCGCAGGGATGTTTTAGTTATTGCTAAGCAGTGCTTACGCAAACTCAAGGCCTCTTCTGCTTCTTACCCCACGAGCCAGTAGGCCAGGGGTGCAGTGGAAGCTCGGAGGGGACACAGCAGAGACAGCTGACACCAACTGAGCAAAGGGATATTCCATACCATATGATGTCATGCTCAACATATGAAGCTGGGAGAAGAAGCGGGGGACACACACACACACACACATTTGGAGTGATGGCATTTGTCTTCCCAAGTAACCATTATGTGTGATGGAGCCCTGCTTTCCTGGAGATGGCTGAATACCTGCGTGCTGATGGGGAGTGGTGAATGAATTCCTTGGTTCGCTTTGCTTTGCTTGCATGCGCGGCTTTTGCTTCACCTATTAAACTGTCTTCATCTCAACCCATGAGTTTTCTCACTTTACGCTTCCGATTCTGTCCCCATCCCACCAGGGGGCAGCAAGCAAATGGCTGTGTGGGGCTTAGTTGCTGGCTGGAGTTAAACCATGACAGTTTCAAATACTTTGACGACTCAAAAGGAGTATTAAAACAACAATGCTTATAAAACTTTGGTGTTTAAATATAACAGTATTGGGAATCCTATAAATACCAACAGAAATATATGTGTAAAAATTAATGTCAAAGATTGCAATGAAATTAATTTTTTCTCAGCATTAATTAGTAGCACAAGGAAATACTTCTTAAACTATACAGTGGGATAGCTATCCCAGCTATAATCATGATTTTAAATACCACATACATAGTACCACATACATAGCACACACTAAGAAAAGAAGAAATGAGGAAAATGCAACATCATTTCTGCAAGTATCACCTAATACTTAAAGCTGCTTTGAACTGATGTGGGCATAGCAATTTCTGGCAAATATTAGTATTTGGAAAAATAGACTTTGCATATTAGAAAAACAATGTTTGTGAATCTGCCTTGACCAAGAAATAGACAAGCATCTATTATGTCAATTCCCACAGCTGTACAGAGTCTGAAATGGAAGTATTGTCACCGAAATCGGGAATAAACCTCGTAACACCAATGTAGTGTTAAAAGGCAGGCATTCTTTATTCACGGCGCCGGGAACACGGGGGATAGCTCCTCCTAAATCGTGTTCGCTCAATCAGTTCAAAAGTCAAACATTTATAGGTCTATGATTACAAAATTAATACATATTCATCAAGTATCCATTCAATGATTGGTTAAGTATTCCTCGCCTACCATGTAAATGACCACGCATGCTCACTATAATTTCTTGGGATTTTACTTCCTTAATCTTTTGAGTCGGAGGGTTTCTTGAGTGGGTGGTCTCTGAGTCGGTGGTCGCGATCTCCCCCTGCCGGAATTACCTTTCCTGCAAAGTTCACTTAAGCTTGGCAACACTCAATAGACTTTCACGGGCTGTCGGCTCAATATGTAATCATTTACCCCACAGTCCTTTGTTTTAAGACAGGACTATAGAATGAATAATTACCTACCCACCGGATCACCGAACTGACCGAGGTGTTCCTTCTTGTTCCTAACTACTTGTTCCATAATATCATGATCACAATGTTACACTTAACTCCTTGATAATTAAATCAAGATGGGAAGGGTTAGGTGGGTTCTCGAGCAGCATTGCTGGTGCATAATGTTCTTATAGTTACAACTTGCTACAAATTCACAAACCTATTTTCTAACCCTATTTTATTTTAATTCCCTACCACTTTGGTTACAGTATCAAAGAGTTGCCTTCAAACTAACACAACTATGTTTCAGAAACCCTGCCCAAAATCAGCTGAGGTGCATAGTTGAAACAGAAGAATTGTGCACTGGTTCTTATATAAAACATATAATGCAAAGAAATGTGGCGCAAGTTGTATCTATAGATGAAATACTTACTTTTGGGTTTAGGACTACTTTTTCTGTCTGGGAACTTAATTAACGGAGTATGTGGCTTGACTACCTAGAACAAGGCAAGGTAGTAGGAGAAACAAGGAGAGTAAAATATAATTCTAGACACACATTACCTTTGCACTAACAAACTGAACATAGAACACATTAAACAACCACTTCTATACTGCCGCTTTCTGCACCACCACTCTGATAAACTTACTACTTATTAAAGGTCTATGATTACCCCAGAAGTTTCACCTCTAAAAATATTCCCCCACCCTAATGTCCAGAGCAGTAAGAAGCATTCTGTTCCTTTTCTCACAGTGATCAGTGTGCATGCACGTGCAGAAACTGCTACCTCAGTTGCATAAATGGAATTATAAAATTGTAGCACACGGAACTGCTAGCTGTGCTTTGCCTGTACATATTTATTCAGCTGTCTGGACAAGACTGACTAGTTCCATTAAGAAAAAGCTATAAATTGTAAAGTTTAGTAGTCGAAGCCACACTGCTTATTTTTGAAACACAACTTCGGAAGACTCCATGTCTCACTTTCACCTTGAAGGGAGATGGCTTAGAAAAAGAGCTTAAACGGCAGACAAAATGCTGCGGGCTGCACCTTCGCATCCTTTTGTAACCGAGAACCTGGCAGCAGCGTCAAATAACCCGCGACAGCGGGCGGGC